TTACTGTCATGGCCCCAGCACATAGAAGAGTGCCTGGTAGCATAACAGGCCCTCTATCACGTGCGAAATAACCGAGTCAGTGAAAGCATTAAAATGAGGGGTGAGTACAGAACTAATTTGCAGGGCAGTACAAGACAGCTAATTACCAGGGGCGGGATCCCAACAGAAGCTGCGTTTAGAACTGAGGGTAAAACTCGGAAAAGTGAGGAAAACTCATAGCAGTGACTATTATGCTTATCGAGTACTTACTACATCCTTGGCACTGTCCTGAACATTTGAAATAAACTATTTAATAATCTTCATAATTATCCTATGAGCTAGGTATTCTTAGCAATCATCCCCATTTTACAGATAGGGAAACTAAGGCATAGAGTAGAAGTTAAATAACTTACACCCAAATCACTCAACTGGTAGGAGGTAGGGCCAAGACCCAAACTCAGGAAGCCTGACTCCAGAGACCATGTTCTTTACCCGGACGCTGTACTCGAATGAAACGGCCCCCTCCCCTTAAGAAAAAGAACAGGGGCGCGCCTCGGCACGTGCGTGTGCGCCCGGGATCTGCTTCTATCACACAGCATGACTTCTAAATGATTTGACAAACACGTTCTAGTGCTTCCGGAACCAGCTGTTTCTGGGTTCAAATCACAGGCTGGCCGTCCGACCTTCGCAAATTAGTTAACGAGCCTGTTTCTTCATCTACCTGAGTTCAAATTTCAGCTCTGCCATTTACCATGTGGGATTGGGGGCAAGTCATTCGATCTGTACCTCATTTTCCTCATCTGTAGAATGGGGATAACAGCAACTACTCCACGGAGCTATGGGGAATAAATACAATGATCCACGTAAAGCCCTTAAAAGAATAATATAGCGGAGTGCCTCACACACTCTCTTCCCAGAACCCTTAGCCATTATGATTCCCTCAACACGCTCTGAGACTTGCTCCCTACCCTCGAGGTGCCCAAGAACAATACTTGTGGTCAAGTGCTCGAGAAACGCTAAAAAAGTTGAGGCGGGCCTAACTGCTTCGGGGAAGTAGGGAGGCAGGAGGCCTTCGTCGACTAGGTGGAGTCGGGTGGGGTGGGAGCGGTTTCCTTCACGGTGGACCCAACCGGACCGGGAGATCCCGAGGGAAGGGGCTGCGAGGACTCCGCACGCGGTGATTTCTCAGCACTGTGGCTAAGCTGCCTTTCTCTCTGCTGTCGTGGTTTAGTCACGATCGGACCGTGCTGGGGTGCGATGGAGACCAGGAAGCTCAAGGCCTTTGGCAGACCGAGTCAGGCCACGCCCCAAACAGACAGCAAGGCCCAAGCGCCTAAAGCCATTTCTACCGTGAAATTCCTGGATTCTGTCGCGATGAAACACCACCTAAGGCAGAGCCCGGCGCTACCCGCCGGTCTCCATCTTTAGAATTGGAAGAATGAGAGCTGGCCAAAGGGGAATCCCGGTTTTGGGATACTGGGGTACGGCGGCTGCCTGGGGACCAAAACGTCTCTAAGGTAAAGTTGCAGCCTGAAGCGATTTTTTGACCCCCGACACTTAATGGGCTGCTGAAGACCCGGATGTGTCTGGGACTGGCCGAGGTACCCATTAACGCGCCCCCGCTAGACCATCCCCCTCCTCCGTGTACGATTGGGTGTTAAGTACGCCAATCATCACTTCTCCAGCCACTCACTTTGCAAGGGTGGGGTGTAGTCCCGGCATCCCCTCTCCTATTGGTATGGCCCAGAAGAGGAGGGCGGGGAGGCCGGCTTAGGTTGCCCAATGGGCGTCGTGGCGTGTGGGGGAGGCGGAGCCGAGGCGCTTGGCAGCTGCCCAATCAGCGTCCTTGTTTGTGTGGTGCCGCCGCCGCCGGTGCAGCCGCCGCCGCCGCCG